ATCAAGAGTACCAGAGGGAGATTAAAATGTTGTAATTACTCTTCTCATTTTTGCTCGACACTGTATCTTGATTTTTCTTTTAATGTGTATTTAAAAAAAAAAAAAATCGGAATTTAATTTGAATTTATTAACAAGAAAACAACAACATATAATGTTACAAATATATTCAAGTGGGTAACAAAATAACAAAATATCCATGAACATGAGTTACAAAGAAAAAGAAAATATCCATAGTTGAACCATGTGTACAAATTATATTAATCATATACCATGTCATATCAAACCTGTGAACAGGGACATGCTATGATAATACGTATATATTTGTGGCTGGAATTGACATTCACAGAGTTCCAATAGCATATAAGTGATTCAAATAAAGGATATTTTTAAACTTAACAACTTAAAATGTTGTTAAAGGCAGAACCAAAAGTTAGCACGAGTGCTAGTCGGGATTGGTTCTCCAAGTTTCTAAAACTGTATGCAAGTTCATATTGATATTTGTTTTGACTTAATTTCATACTATTTGATCCTCATGATTCATCTTTGCTTAGGAGTTTAATTCTGAGATTTTGACGAAATGATGATCTTGTTTCTCTTCTCTTAAATTTATGGGCAAATTATTCCACAGCTTCGCTCCAATGAAAGGAATTTAAAAAGTGCCATGTGTCGTACTACATTTAGGTAATCGTAGCATTAAATGTTCTCTCCCTCTTGTTTCATACATGTGATTCATTAAAGCAAAGTAATCCATTAACGAATGTGGTAAATGTCCTTTCTGCAGGTCATATACAAATGTCGATACTGAATGCTTGAAGAGATTATGCACATCTAATACCTGTAGACGTACGAACAGTGCCTTTGAACTTGTTATAAATGGGGAAAATGTTTAAGGTTCAAGGTTCATTTTATTTATTTCCTTCACAACATTTTTACATATAATAATAGAACAAAAAAACATCATAAGAAAAAACAATTTAAATGCAATTTTAAGTCGATATATGATCCAAATGAAAGAAAGTGGAGCCCTTAGAAAAGCTGGGCTTGTAAGAGTAAGGTCCCCATATAACATAATCCATCAATGTTTCACTTTTAACAATGGGATAGCTTGAAATTTGAAAAGGAGAGGATGAAAATATATACAAAGGAATCAAGAGGAAAAAAGCAAACTGGAACGAGAAAAACAACAAAAGAGAGAAAGAAGAAAGTTATATGTATATAGGGGAAAATGGTATTTGGTGTAAAGAAAAAGAAAAATAGAAGAGAGGAGGGGGGGGGGGAGAGAGAGAAGGTGAAATGCTGACATTTATATTGAATAATCAAACATAACAAAAACAAAAAGATAATGCACGTTATCAATAACAATTGATAAATTATTACCTAATATCATTTCTGGTGATATAATTTTAATCATAATTGTCGACATAGTTACTCAATAAATATAATTTCAATTTGCGTTTAAAAACAAAGACACTGACAGATCTAGTTACATTGATAGGAAGTGAGTTCCAAAATTTGGGAGCAGTACAAGCCAGCGTCTTCAGAGCAAAAGCAGTTCTTACACGTGGAATATGAAGTGCAGTTGCCTGCCTTGTATTATAGCTATGAATTTGATTGTTCTTTCGAAATATTTGTACTAACGTATTTGGGAGAGTACCATTTTCCAAACCATACATAATTGCGCCTAACTGTAAAAAGCAAATGTCTTCAACCTTCAAAAGCTTATTACTGTAGAACAAAACATTAGTATGAGCACGAATAGCTCGCATTAAAAACGACTCTAACCACCCTCTTTTGGGCAACACAAATCTTATCTAATTGTGTTTTCAATGACTTCCCCCATGCCAGCACTCCATAATTGAGATAAGGCAAAATTAAAGTAGAATACAAAATAAGCACAACTTCTTGTGGGACAAAAGAACTTAATTTATAAATTACATCAGTATTTCTAGACACGACTTTACAAATATTAGTACAATGAGATGCCCAAGACAGCTTCTCATCATTATGTAGCCCAAGAAACTTGGTGGAAGTTACTCTCACAACGTTAACATCATCAAAAAATACATTTCCAGGTACATCCTTTAGGGAGCTACTAAAAACATACAGTTTGTCTTTTGAAGATTCAAGGACAACTTATTTGCATAAATCCACAAAACAAATTTCTTTAATTCAATATTAACTGTATCTAATAAAACTTCAGGGTTTTTATGAGAACAAAATACACTTGAATCATCTGCAAAAAATATGAAAGATAGTACATCAGATGAAAGATAAAAATTATTAATATATAATATAAAAATAAGGGGGCCAAAAAGGGACCCCTGAGGTACACCACAATATATAGTTTGATGACTTGAGTCAGTTCCATTTAATGATACATATTGTTTTCTGCCTGTTAAATAGCTCCTGAACCAGCTAAGAGCGATGCCTCTCACTCCATAATATGACAATTTACTTATTAAAATTTCGTGATCAACCGTATCAAACGCCTTAGAGAAATCCAAAAATAAACCAATTGTATGAAGGTGACCATCTAGTGCTTGAGCTATTTTATCTACAAAGTGTAAAATTGCATGTGTAGTGGTGTGCTTTTCACGAAAGCCAAACTGGAATTTTTAAAATATTTTAGTCTTTTTTTAAAATATCACTGTTCTATCATATATAAGCTTTTCTAAAAGCTTTGAAAAGGATGTCAATAATGAAATGGGTCTACAATTACTTAATGTTTGAGGATCACCCTTTTTAAATAATAGCACTACCTTAGCAAATTTCATTTGTCCTGGTACAATACCAGATAAGAAAGACAAATTATAAATATGAACAAGTGGTATCACAATTCCATGTATAATATCCTCAATTAATTCATTTTTATGCCATCAAAGCCAGGACTCTTATTACTTTTAAGCAAGCTCACAAGTTTAAACAATTCTATTTCCATTGTGGGTATTAAAAACAGGCTATCTATATTGGGTTCTTGCATAAACTCAATAAAGCTTTTCTGACATTTAGGAATAGAGTCCTGAAGTTTTAGCCCGACATTACAAAAATAATCATTAAAATTGTCCATAATAATTTGTCTATCTTCTACTGAACAACCATTCACATTTATACATTTGATATTTGTAGTTTTTTACTGATGGTTTAAAAAAAAATTCTAATTACTTTCCATGTATTCTTAATATTATTAAATGTCATTTGAAATTGAGCAGAGTAATATTTTTTCTTAGCATCACGCAATACAGAAGTAAGAGTATTTCTATAATTAGAATACTTTCTCCACAAAAAATCAGAGCTTCTCCTTTTATATTGATAATACAACTTATTTTCTTAGTAGTTGACCTTAATATTGATTTAGTTATCCATGGCATACGAGGAACTTTATTATAATTCTTCTTTGTATATTCAACCAGAGGAACATTCTCACCATACAACAACATGAATTTATTAAAGAAACTATCAAAAGCACTTTCAACATTTTGGTCTGAAAGAACATCATTCCAATCAGTTGTAATTAAATGCCTCTGTCAATTTGGCAATATTTTCAGGAGTTCCTTTAGGGACAGACGTGCGGCCTCTAGGCTCACAATTCAATTTCTCCGAAGACAACATACAGTATACAGGAAAATGATCAGACATGTCAGATACTATAATTCCAGAGGGTGCATATGGTTGCACATTACAAAAAATATTGTCAATTAAAGTACTGGAAACTTCTTTTATTCTTGTTGGCTTAGTGATTAGGGGCAATAATGAGAAAGACGTTAACATGTTTAGAAAAACATCAATTCGATTATCGTTATTACAAAGTAATAAATTCAAATTAAAGTCTCCCATAAGATAGAGTGACTTTCCAACTAAAAGTGGATTGTCTAAAATTGACTGAATTTCATTTACAAAATCATTAAAATTACCATTTGGGGGCCTATATACAACTCCTATAAAATGATTCTTTTGACCAGGGTTATCAATCTCAACAAAGATAATTTTTATATGATCTGACATTATATCAAAATCGTGATGTATCTGGTATTCTACTTGGGAAGGAATACCCAAAGCAACACCTCCTCCACGTCTACTTTGTCTATTGTTGTTAACAAAATTAAAACCAGAAATAGATAACAAGGCTCCTATCGGTTTCACTCGTAAACCATGTCTCAGTAACACCAAGTATTACACGTCCTAGATTGATATTATCAATGAATCTTAACATTTTGTCAAAATTCTTACAAACACTACGCATGTTTATATGAAGAAGAGTTAAGCCACTGTTCGTATGATTATATTTAGATGCTGTTTCAAAAAATTGATCTTCTGTATGATAATTACAATTAACATTAGGGATATCATAACCGTCACATAAATTGCTCATATTGTCTTCATAAAATCTACAAATTTCATCATCCATTTGAGCCATATTGATACTGAATGTGCAACATTACATGAACGTATTGTATAGTAGGTGGCTGGCAATACAGACAAACATGCAAGAAAGGAGAAAACGTGACAAAAAAAAACTGCATAAGGTGAAATAAACTCATATTCAGCAATTCATGTAGGGTACTGAGAAAAGAGGAAACGGGAAAAGGAATCTGGGATAGACTCAGAAATGGGGAATGAAGAGAAGGGCAATGAAAAAACAAGGAAAATTGTAACATCAAGCATAATGAAAAGAAAAACAAGTATATAAGATACAAGATACAAAAAACAAAGCATGTCAACAAAATACAAACTGTACATAAATAGCACACTTAAAACCAGACATGGTTATCTGACCATGGCAAGACAATGTAGTAACTAGTAAGTTCACTGTTAATTGTTCAAGTCTTCGAGAGAGTTGATCGTCCTTTTTAGTTCTTTGCCGTTTGTGGCAGGGACAAGGGCAATAACTCGCCCATCCCATCCATTACTGTCCCGGGCCGCCTTCAGCAGCCTCGCGTTTTATTTAGTCAAGTCCTCTTGAATCGACTTTCGTGTGCCGGCAAGCTTACGTCTGCTGGCCAGGGCCCCGTATTATAAAACTTTTGACTTACCATAATAGTAACTCCCCGAGATACTATTATGGTAGTTACCATCAATGGTAACTACCATCGGAGCTTAATATCCGTTGCATAAAACCGATATTAACTAATATAAGAAAAACCCGCGAATGGTCTTCTTGGACGAGCCAGAAATTTAAGCGCATGCGCAATACCCGTCGTCTGCTAGATATAGCCACTGAGATAAACACCGAAGACGGCTGCTGCTAATCTACAATTATCGTCAATCGTACGTATTTCTTGACTTTAATCATTTTTATGTGTTAATCGAAAGAGCATATTCATTCTGCTATACATATTGATAAATGTATTAGTACTGGCAATAAATGTGCAGCCTTTACTCAGACAGTATTTGCCATCGTACTGGGGTTTAATTGTAATGTTTACGTCAGTCTCCGCAGCCGTACGTGCTTTCAGAAGCCAGCGGGGACTAGAGTACTGAGCTCCCCGGAGGAGCTGGGTAGCATAATCTGACATTCCACTACTAGCATGACTAGATTGGGTGGTGTTTTGAACATTCGTTTATCTACAATACCCGATGATTTAAAGTTGTTTAAGGGTAAACAACTTGCAATTACCTCATAGTATCATTCTAAAATGTAAAATACTAGACTCTCAATTAGAATATCTAGATAAAATTAAGACTCTCGCCTAGTCTAGACTAGATCTAGTCTAAGTCGATTAGAATTTCAACTTCATTCCAATTTCTAGTCTATAATTATATAGACTCTCAATTAGAATTTCAACTTTATTCAGCTTCAGACTAGTAGTAGATCTATAATCAGATACTACTTAAAATAGTATAGACCCTAGACTATGTCTAGTGTCACAGTGTGTGCATGTCAAGTGTGAGAGCTGAGGGATTGGGCCGGCGATTGGGCCGGCGATTGGCAGGGGCATGAAATATAAGGCCATGTAAAATTGATTACATGTTGATCGTCCGGATTTTTTGAAAAAGAGGAGGAGGGTGTAGTCTACCATGTTATTTGATATTTGATATTTCAAAATGGCCGCTCAAAATGGCCGCTCGGTACATTTTCCCTGACAGTCGAGGCTATTTTTTTTCAAGATGGCCGCCGACAATTTTTTTTTTTTTAAATCAGAAATAGAGCCATTTTAGCAGTGTTTTTCATGTTTTTTTTCTTTCAAAAAAAAAAAAAAAAAAATAAAAATTTAAAAAAAAAAAAAAAAAAAAAAATAAAATAAAAATAACAAATAACAAAAAATAGGAGGCGGCCCCCAAAAAGGAAGCGGGCGGGGACGATCAACATGAAATCAATTTTACATGGCCTAATGATATACTGATCGAGTATCAAAACCAAACAACAATCTTGTGTTTAAAAGGGTTTGATACCGTCAAATTTGATTTAACAGAACTCATTTTAAACAATCTTTCTGGTTTCTCATTAGTTTTTTAATTTTGTTTCTTCATTCTAGGAAATGGTGAAACGCAGGCCGAACTTGACAGGTCGGGATGTCCGCTGCCTGGCAGACTACGTAAAAAAGAACCGCCAAGCTTTGTTCGGCAAAGCGGGGAACTGTGTGGAAAAGGTTTGTAAAATCCAATGCAGATCTATTTATTAAAATTTCCAGAACATAACTATGATTTCGAATTTGAATAAAGAGTCTTTTTATCTAACTTATTTTTATTTTTCCTTCTTTCAACTTTTCTTCTAATAAGTATACCGAAAATGATGTTTTGGTTTTCATTTTTTCTGATGCCCAAGACAGAATGCAGTCCACTGTCTTTGGAGACAGTTGGATGCTACCATATGAGAGTATTCTTTCAAAATAAGTAAGGGTGAATTAATATGTTAATCATCTATTGCATATAATTAAAGAGAACTTGAGTAGGTTCCAATTTACATTGTACTTTTTGTTCTTGAATTTTTGTAGATCAAAAAACGAAAAGAGGATGCATGGGCCCTAGGGCTCGTATCGCTAGAGGCCCAGGGACTCCAACCAGGTAGAACAGTAAAGGACTTGCGTCTTACCTGGAACGAAATGGCGGCAAAGGCTCGAAAGTACAGGGACTCAAAGAACAAGACAGGTAAATTAAGCTGTCTTTATTGTGTAACAGATAAAACTGTAAAAGGTACCTTTCTTGTATACTCCTACCACATGTAATTTATCACCAATAGTTACCTGTGCTTTGGAAAAGTTAAAAAGTAAGAAAGCATTTGTGCAATAAAAAAACAAGTTTTTAAAATGGTGGGATTCCATCTGCTATTAGTATCTACTGTACCACCATAGGTCATCATGAATTGTACATGCATTAAAAAATTATCTTTAATATATCATATCAACATTCATGACTTAGGACAACAGCCTAGTGTTTGAATGCTAGGCTTTTTTTATTTTTATTTCTCTTTAAAAAGATAGCATGTTTTGCATGGTATATCCTATTTCAATAAAGAATACTCTAGAGTAGCCTGTCAAGAAGAGTATTGAATTAGTAAAGGGGTTTATTATTATCAGGAGACTTGGTTGGTAGATTGGTGGTCTCATAATCCGACGACCTAGGTTCGAAACCATGTCGTCGATGCACTAGTGTCCTTTGGTATTAAGGCATTATTCCTCATTACCAAGGTCCCTTAGATAGGACCTAAAGTCGTCGGTTACTAATAAGCACTCGTGCTTTTTTAGCAGTCGGGTAAAATAACCACCACTAAACCGCAAATCACAACTTACACTTATTTGGTGTAGATTATTAACCATCACGACCTAATCCAAGATCTCTCTTTAACTGTACGATCGATATTAACATTTCGTAAAATTTATGGTAAGAAGTTAACATTTATTTCTTTGACTTTGGATCATTAGGAGGTGGACCACCAGTGGAATATAATGAGAAGCACGAGGCAGTACTGGAGGCAATGGTGGAGGAGAGTGTGGAGGGCATTCTGGGGCCAGAAGAGGAGGCTGGATACCTAGCTCTCCCTTCGAGCCAAATGTCACAGGTAAAATTTGTAGAATTTGATTGACCCCCTCTCTGGGTATGAGAGTACAAACAAACATAAAAATATACATGACTTGTGAATATGTACATCTTTGGTTTAACCCTAACTGAGCCAAGGGGGGGGGGGGAAACAAGTACCCCCACCCCCCTCCTCAACACTTTGCACGATATGTCTGCATCGCTGGCCGAAATCTCAGGGAAGGGGGCGGGGGAGCCCTTTCCCTAACTCTGAGAACTTCAAAAATACCCAGGCCTAATCAGGGTTTATCTTGAATTGTAGATGGTATTGAAATGCTTACCACTATATTACTTAATTTAGTTGACGACCTTCAAAGTGTCAATGTTATGTTGACCACCCTACCCCCCTAACTCTATTTGAAAAATTTATCCCATTGAACATGAGATTCAAATGTGGCATGTATTTTTATGTGAGGCATTTTCAATACGGGTATATGGTAATTTTTTTGTTTAACAAAAACAAAATCCTCACTGATGGTGTACGGTACAACAATTTTTTTTTCTTACATTTTTTAAATATTTTTTTTAGGGGGGTGTTTTAAACCTTTTTCTCAAACATATTGATGATTAGATAAAACCCTTACTGACATTGTTCTCTTTTTATCACAGAATTTTAATAAATAAAATAATAATAACAACATTTAGACAGTATGGTTCTATAGTTCTTTAAAACTCAATCAAGGCAATCTTTATTGTTATATGCATACAGACAGCAGAAAATGCCATGGCTGTGGCCATGATGGTTAACACCATGGTGGGTGGCATATCTGTGCCGGCCCGGGACCCACAGACCAGTACTAGTGCAGCCAGCAGTGCCGGACCACCAATAGACCAGCCTGTTCTAGTAGGGGATAGCACGGCCAAAGACACCAAAAAGCCAATCAGCTGTTATGAAGAGAGACTTTTGGAGATAGAGGAGGAAAAGTTATTAGTCATGAAGCGTGCGCTTCACGTTTTCGAATTATTTGTCTTTAATCAAAAAGAGGTTTAAAATTGTTACTTTGTTTGTTTTGCAAATTCCATGTTAATTTTGTTCTTATTCATGATAACTTTACCTTTCAGTATTCAAAAAGATTATATCATTGTGCATTTTGGAACTAAGGAAATTAGGTTTCCCAGAAATCTAATATGAATATGTCGTTATTAAAAATGAATTGACTATGCATGAGCGTTCCACGGGACTCCCCCCCCCCCCCAGTCAGGTTTGGATTAAATATGTGGCCTGCTTCTGAATAGAACAAATTACAAATTCAGGAGATAAACTCTTCCCATATACTATACTGTAAATTAACTGCATCTAAAGATAACAATGTTATGAGGCCAATCTTAAGGATATCTTACACACTTCATTGAAAGAGGGCCTTGAATATGATGTCACATTCATATACAAATTTATAAAACAATATGACTATTGGCAGGTCAGCAGAACATGCCCTAGCCCGGCGATTCCGTGAAATTTGAATTTTGGCTTGGTGCTACCTTAGCAATTAATCCCCCCCCCCCCCCCGGTTGAATGCAGTACTGAATTGATTAAGATTCTCAATGCAAACAGAAGATTACTACCACTTGAGTTATATAGTACAAGTATACTTCAACAATATTGTCACAACTAAATAGTGCAGTAATAAAAAGAATTTATGTGTCAACTTATAGATGACCCAAAATGGTGTTTTAAAGCAGGGGAAGTCCACCCTAAAAATAAGTATGTTTGAATGATATAAAATATAGATAAACAATAAGGTCAGTGACAGTGAATGTTGAAAAAGATTCTTGGTAACAGTATATAGAAGTCTTCATCATAAAAATCTAGTGGAAATAATTGGCAATAATAGTGTTTCTGATGGCTAAGCCGTTGTCTACAATGTGGTCGTCCCTGTCTGGTTCGTGTTCATGTTGTTCAATACCAAAGTCTACTTCATCAGGCTGCTTCAAATCTTTAGCCACATTGTGCAATACGGCGCATGCAGTGATGATCTTGCACGCTCTTCTGGGTGCCATTTGCATACCATTCAGTAAGCACCTGAATTTGTGCTTTAGTTGGCCGTTGACTTGTTCGATTCTCACTCTCGTTGTAGCATGTGCTCTGCAGAGTAAAGGAATTGAAGTATAACAAATTAAAAACAAAGAATTATTGGGAAGTCTATTAGACTATGAAAATACATGTACATCTAACTACAGTGCTATACATCTAACCTATACATTGTCAAAAGGAAGTAAGTCACATATATGAGTAATTTTCTTTTTTACCTGTAGCTCTTCTGGGCCAAATGGTATTCATGAACACTCATCCTGCTAATTAAGAGATGTGATTGGCAAATTGACATCATGGTATTGCTTTGATGTCTAAAATGGCATACATTCATTCACTTTCTTTTTTAATTGTAGATACAAATATGCATTGAAATGTTTCTTGTAGTACATACCTATTGTAAGCCTGTTCTGCAGGAGTCCTTGGATTTAGCACTGGTGTCATCAGGTATGGTCTTAAAGCGTAACCCGAATCTCCAAGAAGTAGACCATGCTGTTGTAGATCTTCAAAAGTCTGTCCAACTCTGCTGTTCTGTATAAAGGAAGAATCATTATAAGAATGAACATAATATGGTAGAATAGGTGCCCCTTGACCTTTGATATTTATTGCATTCTCTTGCATATACACATTTTGAAAAATTATTAAAAATTGTAAGATCTTAGCTTCACAATTATTTTGTAGCATTTGTAACAAACATTTGACATCAATTTCAAAGATTAACATGTATGTCAATATATGTTTTCATGGAGGCATTAAAAACAAAAGTGGGTTACATAGGAAATGTTAGAATCAAAATATTATGGATTTACCTGAAATATCCTGCTGTCGTGAGTGCTGCCTGGCCAGCGTGCCAAAATGTTTATGATCTTGTAATTGGTATCACAAATTATTTGGGTGTTGATGGAGTAATATCCTTTTCTGTTCATATAGACGTGCTCACCAGGGCCCAAGGGAGCTCCATTTAGTCTAATGTGTGTTCCGTCGACCACTCCTATGACCTGGGGAAAGCCTGATATGTTGAAGAAATCCACTTGGGCTCTGTTGACTTCTTCCATTGTCGTTGGAAACTTGATTATCTGAAGTGTGAATTGGAGATGCAGAAAGAAAACAAAAATCAATAATTCCATGTTGCAGATCTTCATATGTTATGTATACAATACAAGTCTAATTCATGTGCAAACTTTTGAAATGTAATTTGACGTATATTTTATTCATCGTCATTATATTTATACAGCTATGCTGAAATTCACCAGTATTTATTATTATAGACAGAAACGATGTTATATCAAGAAATGTAATCTTTATCACATTGTAAATTATATGAATAAATATTTATCTCCTACGAATACATTTAATATTCAGAGAATTGGACATGAACTTTCTTTCTTTCAATCAAGTGTTGAGAAAAGTATGTGAAATATCTGAAGAAGTTTGTGAAGTGATTAAAAAAAAAATTATGAGAGAGAGTGCAAGTTTTCTTTGGCTGTACTCGAATTCATGAACATATTCATAGTTATGCTATTAATGGTGATGCAACTAACTATTCCTATAACTATCTATTCTTAAAAACTGATCTCTTTTCTTTCTATACCCCTCGTCTCTCTCTTCCCGGGCCTCTATATAGCTCTCTCTCTCTCTCTCTCTCTTTTCTCCTGTTATTTATTATTTACTTATTAGTTTATGCTTCTCCGGGGAGAATCTTGTTTGAATCTACGTTCTTCCTCTTAATATAATCATGACAGTTGTGTTTTTTTTTTTTTTTGGTCTTTTCATCAATCATTATTATTATCATTTTCTTTATTATATATAGCAGTATTGTTTTACTATATTTTTTTAAAACCATTTTGTTGTGAGTTTTTTTTTTTGTGACGGTAGTTTAATTATGTTGTATTTTTTACTGCTGTGTATGCGCATATAAATTTATCATTAAGTCTATTTGATATCTGTGCAAAAAGAGGAAATGATGAAATTGGAAATTGAAGACGTTAAAATATCTATCGATTGGCATATAGCTTTCCATACTCTGGGCTCAGCTGTTTCAATTTAGAGTACGTATTATGTGTGCATGCAACATTTGCCTCTGCCTCTGGTCATGTGAATGTGATGAGAGACTCCTCGTTTTGTGCATTAGAAAGGGTGCTGTTTTCGTCATGACAGTCATTCATCATGCAATCATCATTCAGTAAGAAATTTGTTTTGACATATATACCTATATGAAGGGTCATAGGTACACGATTCATACAATCAAGCTCGCATCATATCACGCCAATTTATGGGCGACTCTACACAAATCAATATACCTAGGACTACGTGCAAAATAGTAATTATACTAGCGCTAGCGCTAGCATCTAGCACTTGCACTCTCGCTAACTTGGGGAAGGAAGTTTGGATAAAGATGTCTTTATTATTATGAATTCTTTATTAGACGTAGCTATTGTTTGATTATATGACCACTAATAAAATGATACTATAGGTCTACAGACTACTACACAGAGACTGCAGTGACAGTAGTAGACAGGCAGCTAGGCTCGGCCAACTAACCGACCGCGCCAGCGCTGCCCCAGCCTCCCGCCCGGCCGCCACAGTCGCGGGCTCTGTCCCATGGCAACCACTAAATTGTCAGACCGCTGCATAGACCTATGTCATGTCATTGCTTGGTCGTCTAAGATTAATTAAACATATAAATTTATCTGAAATAGGTCTTCCATGTGTTCATTATAAAATGCATAGTATTTTTAGTATATCATATGCATGTCATGCATGACAAAAATAGAGTTATTTTTCATCCTCTTAGTCTTATTAATTTGCTGATTGAAAATTCAAAATACAAATTTTAGACAGACTGTATTTTCGTCTTCTCTTTGCTTTATTAAAGAAAAATGTATTGACTTACCTCATGTTTCAGTGTGCCGAGGGTCACTGACACACGGTGAATTACCCTGGATGCTGTTGAGCGGGTGATGCCATGAATCGTGGCCGTGGAATCAAGCACTGCCCCCGTTGCATAAAAATTCAAAGCTATGAAAACTTGCAGCTCTGGGGGAAGTGCCTGATTCCGTTGGGTGTCGTGCTGCAACAGGGGCCGAATCAAATTGATAACATGCATACAACCATCCCTAGTAAACCGGTACTTCCGGAAAATGTCACCATCCCCCAACTCCAACGGCTGGCTGCGATCTCTGAAGATCCGCTCCCTCCTCCTCGCCCTTTCATATCCACGACGCTGCAAGACAGCCAGTATCGCAGCCATAGTTACGGTAGTGTTACCGCAAGCTCAGAGGGTAGCGGTAATGTTACCGCTGATCTTTATAGACTTACCGCTGATCTTTATAGACTTACCGCTCAAGTCCAGCGGTAAGTTTTTATGCAACGGATATTTACCGTTTATCTTAAAGTTACCGCTGCTTTTGAGACTTACCGCTCAAATGAGCACTTACCGCTACGGTAACTGTTTTATAATACGGGACCCAGAACTTCACTTCTCTTCCTGTATGATTGGAATTTGACAATAATTGGCGCAGGTGAATTGGCCTTTCCTGGATGTTTTGGCAGGACTCTCAGGCGATGACTTCTCTCGATGTCATGCTTTTCGAGACAAACGCCAAGTGAGTCGTTCACCAGATGAATGACTGCCTGGTCAGTGACCTCATCTTGGCGCTCAGGGATCCCGAAGGTACGAAGGCAGTTTCCTCTCCTGGGCATTAAGCTCTCTCTTCAGCAACTTAATTTGCTCATCTTTTCGGGATGAAGCAGCAACCAAGGTCTCCAGCTTCTTGCTAGCACTCTGGGCACCAGTTTGCAGATCCATGATCTTAGCCTCCTGGTGGTCAATGGCCTCCCTCAGATCGCACTCGCTCTTGTGGGCCTTTTTCTCCATAGCAATAGGCCGCGCCTCCTGCCTGTCGATGGTCACCTGCATCTCGGTAAGCCGGCTATCAATGTGGTTTTTCACTAGGTCAATAAACCTGTCATCACCGACAATATCAGCCAAGACAGATTGGACAAGTTGTGCTGCATCCACCTTGGAGCCACGCGTGTTGTTAGCCATGTTGGGCATTGGTACACAAAGCGTTTCACCAATCAGCAATCAGAAGATCATAAGATGACAAGATACAATCTAAAGTGTATAGCAAATGTTAATCTTAGAGCACTGCTGGAGTAGGAAAGCTGTGATAAATTAAGATATTTGTGTCCCGAAAGATATTTCCTCTAGATACTCGTAGTACGAATCAAACACTGGTCATTATTTGGGCATAGTATGCCGTTATTGCCAAGTAACACAGAAGTGAGTGAATGGGACAGTAGTATAGGATAACCACATGACCGGAGTCTCTACTTACTGCCAAAGAGTCAAAATATCATTGAAGTAATTCAACAAAATTCCTCATAGCATCGTCTGGCAGGTGCTAAATGTTCCTTAGAAAAAAGCCATTACACGAGAAAGTCAGATTGCCTCCGCCACAAGAGAATTCAAGGAATTCAAAGATGACAAATTGATCGCGTGTGTGTTATATCAAGAGACCATTACAAGTATCACACGCATGGCCATTTTCTGTGCCAATAGTATGCAATTTATTAAATTTTAGTGAACTGCTCGAAGGTGTTAAAACAAGTTATTCCCAATCTGAACAGAGAACTTTGTACCGAGCCGTAGACCACACGCCTCGATGTCACTTCCGAGAAGAGGGAGGGGGTCGCGAAAGTATTGGCGTCATCAATAAAACCGGTAAGGTTCGCGCCATTACACCGCGTGCTCTCAGCTCGCCTCATTATTTCTATGGTCTTCATAAGAGATGGTCAGATTTGTGAACAAACTTTTTGCCACCTTCCCACCCATAGCCGCCTTTATTTGGCCGGCTGGCAAGACATTAAGCTTTAATATGGATACAATTTATGAACTATAAATGTACAATTACAGCTAGGATACAAGTGTTATATTGCTTGGTTCGCTCCCTGTTCAGGGTTGCAACTGCAATAACTTTTTACCGCATTCCTTTTCTTTTTCATAATCACTTGTATAACCTCATTTTCTTTGTCATATAATTTTTCCGCTTTCTAGGGGCGTTCAAAAGCTACTTCGAGCAAATTTTCTCAATTGCATATGCATATTTTGAGCTTTTCGATACAAAGCCAGTGTTAGTGACGAGAATTTAATGACAATCCACTCTAGCAAGGGCTACGCCTGGTCGCGTTCAAAATCATAACATGGGCCTTGCGGGGCTTTCCCCGATCTTATTTTCCAGAACTCAAACACTTCATACAGTCATACACTGTCGCTCATAATGGTGGAATATTTTTTTTTGGAATTATTTTTAAAATTATTGAAAAATAATAGATCTAGATAAAAGTATACATTCTCAGGTTTTATTGAATAATAATTTGCCAATGTGTGTTTTGCGTGACTGCTAAAGCAAGTATATGCTACTTCGCTTATCAACTAGGGGACATATGCCCTCAAGTCATAAATGACAGTAATGAGGATTAATGCCCCACAAAAGGGCACTAGTATAGCACATAGACACGGTTTTGATCCTGGGGCCTCACAGTTACAAGGCCATTGCTTTCACTGAACCATGACTGTACGCAGCGTGGGCTAGGGTAGGGGGCAGTTTCCATAAATAAAAAACAAAAAACAGAAAATGCAATAAATTTTCAATAATTTATTGCATTTTACCTCGGTTCCCAACATTAAAAAAAATATTCTGTGTACCCATGCCCTGAGCCATTATGCATGGCTGTCCAGAGGATTTTTTCATGTTGGGGACCGGGGTAAAATGCAATAAATTATTGAAAATTTATTGCATTTTCTGTTTTTTTTTTATTTATGGAAAATGCCCCCTACCCTAACCCCCGCTGCGTACAGTCATGGTTCAATGACAAAACAATGGCCTCGTAACTGTGAGGCCCCAGGATCAAAACCGTGTCGATGTGCTATATTAGTGCCCTTTTGTGGGGCATTAATCCTCATTACTGTCATTTATGACTTGAGGGTGTAGGTCCCCTATTTAATAAGCATAGTAGCATACACATCGTTTTAGCATTCCCGCAAAACAGACATTGGCAAATTATTATTTAATAAAATCTGAGAATGTATACTATCATCTAGATCTATTATTTTTAAATAATTTTTAAAATAATTTCATAAATCGGGGTAAAACTAAAATATTCCACCTTTATGAGCGACAGTGTATGATATGGGAATAGCGCGCGGATGGAAGCAGACGTGTAGCATTTTGAGCTCTTCGGCCAACGCCCATTTATTACAACTATGTTCGGCTTTTAATCCTTTAACTGGATAAATACATTACTCGACGCACAGCATTAACGATTTTGTGAGTTTCCAGTCGTTTTGTGACTTATTTAGCATCAAAGAACGGATTTGTTTGCGCCCGAACCAGTTTGAACCAGCCATGATGACACGCACAAAAGCTACCACCAAGCCTAAGCCATCGGCTGCCATGTCGGGAGCCGAAGACTCGGGCAAGGAAATCGAGAGTGAGCCCCAGCCCACCCTTGGAGACCTTCATAACACCTTACTGGAGTTCAAGAATTTTATATCTGGTAAATTTGACAAACTATCAAATGAAGTTTCCGTTATCAATAACAGATTCGAGGAGCTTGAATCCAGCGTCAGCTTCAACTCGGCCAAGATCTTAGAAATTGAAAAAGAAAGGTTGCCTAAATTTAAAGACTCTGTACAGCAGACGATTAAATCCCTGGAAAACAAGGTCACCATGTTGGAAATTCACAACAGAAAATCCAACTTATTGTTTTATGGATTGCAACAGAATGAAGGTGAAAATGTCTACCAAGTTCTTAAAGGAGCATTCGTTTCATTGGGTCTTGACGACACGGTTGCATCTAGAATCGCAATAGCCAACGCCCATCGACTGCCACAACGCCAGTATGGAGCTCAAGCCGCCCGCCAGACACCCGTCCTACCCGTCCCAATAATAGCGAGATTTTGCTACATGCTCGACAGGAATAGCGTCTTGGCGGCTTTCGAAGAGCAACAGATAAAGCGTACGAAGGCCCCAGCTGAGCCCGGCCACGCCCAATCGCGTTTGTCAGTAAGGACCGACCTCCCACCCACAATGAAAATTCGTCGCGGAATCCTAGCGAATGAAGCGTACAAGCTGCGAAAGGAACGGGGGCTAGCTACAAGAATTTTCGTCAAGGGAACGGAGGTCCATCTGTAATGGAAGGAAAAGGGCACGACTAAGTAGAATGATTTTGAAGAATAAGATCAACCAACATACCATGTAAGATGACTCATATTTCTATACTTTACTCTAGTAAATCTTATTCTACGAACAACTTGACACCACACAACGTGTACGTGTACGTGTTTATCAAATTATACTCCTGGTTTTGCTACTCGCTTTACTAAAATAGTAATTCGTGCTACTCTGAATAAGATTTGTCAGATTTGCCTTTTGTTGCCAAACAAACATTTGTCTCATTTGAAGATTAAACCATGACAGAATGTGTGAGTGAGTGATTTTTTTTTCTTCTTCTTCTTCTGTTTTATAATGCAGGTCATTATGGCTGAATTCATTAATACTTGCTCATGACAGGAACTTGTCACATTATACATGTTATACGTAATTCATAATTTGTTATACTCTATTGTGAAAAATTAACAACATGCATGCAGTTCCTTCATCAATATTGCGTGTTACTCTTTAAGTTTTACGTTTTATCAACCAACTCCCCATTATTTTGGAATGATCCTATTTTCTTATACAATTATAGATATGTTTACTGCTTGCTTAAATTGTTTGCATGCATGCTTTCTTGACAGGGGTAGTTTCTAACAACCTGGAAGTTTGCCCAGGGTTTGCCCGACGTGGCAGCAGCTAAGGTATGCAAGCTAATTCCAAGCTAGATTCCAAGAATTGAGGTTTTGTTTGTTAGGTACAGGTTGATGTGGCTTGTTGCTCGTACCAGGGGGGGGGGGTGTACATCCATAAGTTGGTGGACCGACCTATTCACTGGGTCTTTATCTTTGTTAACTATGAATTAATTTATACATTGCTCTTCTCCTACTGAATTACACATTTGTTAATGGAATTTCTTTCTCCTGTAGCTGGTCGCACTTTAATCACTTATTTTATGTCGACAATGGGGCTCTTTAACCTCCGCGTGTTTCACACGATCATTTAAATTACATCATTCTATAGCTTGGTATGTATTATCCTTACTACTATCGCATATGTTGTGAACTTATCAACAGTGTAACATTTTGTTTAACTATGTTAAAATGTACTCTTAACAAATATGTCATTAAGTTCCTTAAGAATTACCTTAACAAAAGCGAACAAGCACTACTCGTTGCATTATTGACTGGTTGGTTACCGTAGTGAATGAAAGGAGTGATCTTTAATGTAAATTCATTTCAGTCCAGTTGATCTGAAAGAATATGCGCATCATTCCTCTCCTAATTGGGTTACATATACTAAATTCACCCTC